TCTGCTGATGCAGTGAAGTCAGATAATGAGAGGGTGAGAGGGAGATGGTGGACTCAGAAGAGGAAGAAGAAGAACTCTCTCTCTCGTATGCCAGGTACTAACCTCTGAAGATGGCGCTGTGGTGCAGGTACCTCGAAGACGAAGCTGGAGCAACGGCGCTGCAGCCTGCAGGTAAGTATCCCTGGCCTCCGCCCAATCTCTCTCTCTCTAGCACTATCCTAGCTATGGCGCCCAACGCTGAAGACTACAGCTACCCTACTAGCGCCCAGCGCTGAAGACTAATGCTAACGCTACTACTACTCCTGCAGCGCTCCTCCAGAGTGCTGTTGCCGAATCTTGAAGACTACTGACTGCCTCCTGCCTCCCCGTGAAGTGCATGGGAAGTCCCTATGTACTACCTCGGCCTGCCTTCTGACTGCCTCCGACTGCCTGCAGTTGCAGGGCGGGCAGTCCAGGAGGCTGCTCTTGCCAATGCCCAACCGAGCCAGGGGCTGGCGCTGCAGCTGTCGTGGGAACAGGCCAAAATAGCCTGTTCCTAAAACCCTGGTTCGGTGCCTGAGTTTCAAGGCAGGTCGGTCTCATGACAGATCGAAAATGGCCCTTTGTTTCAGGCTAAAAAGGCTACTGCCATTTTTGGTCTGAAACGACACAGGGTCTGTAGGCCCCTGTTTTTCAGGCTTTCGAGCTGAACAGACACGGGACCTATAGGCCCTGATTTTCAGGCTTCCAGCCTGAGGGACGCAGGGCCTGGAAAATGGCCCTCGTGTGCAGGCGCAGCATGTAACACTCTCTCTCTCTCTCTCTCTCTCTCTCTCTCTCTCTCTCTCTCTCTCTCTCTCTCTCTCTCTCNCTCTCTCTCTCTCTCTCTCTCTCTCTCTCTCTCTCTCTCTCTCTCTCTCTCTCTCTCTCTCTCTCTCTCTCTCTCTCTCTCTCTCTCTCTTCCCCTTCCCTTAGTCGCCGCCGTCTTCCTCCTTAGCTCAGCGGCTATGGCCGCCAATCTTTCACTTAGCGCGGAACTCAACGGCGCGCAACAGCGATAGCAGCACAGCGTGAAATGGGGCGCCGACAAAGCACGCGCGAGCGCGCAATCTGGCCGGTGCGCACGAACAATGGCGGGTGAGCGCGATAAGAAGCTGCGCGCAAATAAAGACGTCACACGACAAGCAGCAGTGCGCGCGACTAGCGACTTATCGCGCAGTGGCAGCGACAGCAACGTGCAGCAACGCAGGGCAGACAAGCGTGGGAAATGTGAGCCCGCAGGGGAACTAGCGCTCGATACGGCAGCGGGCGCGATCAACAGCGCGCAGCAGAACGGGCACGTGTGGTAGCTGCGGAAGACGTCACAATTCAGCAGCCACATTGACACACGGCGCTGACATGACACATGATCTAGCACGAAGCGGGCAACCTGGGCGCAGGGCGCCCCTCTCTATCTTCACCTCGGTGGCGATGGCGCTGACGTGGCGCCGTTCTCCTTTCTTAAGCGGCGACGATCTTCGACGAGCACGGTACGATCTTCGACGAGGACAGTAGTAGCGGGACAGCGGGAACCAGCTCTGATACCAATGCAATCAGACTTGTCTCCTTCAAGCTCAGCATGCATGCAAACAGATGACGATCGCACCTGGCGCAACAGCGCCCCACGCAAAGCTCAACGATAAACGTAGCCAGGAACACAGCTCAGACTCAAACTTGTCTTGAACGGCTATGGCACCAACGCCAGACAAAGATTCCCAATCGATCAACTGTATCCCCCAGCAACTTGTCCACACACACACACACACACTTACTTTGGATCACCCTGGATGCCCCGCACACACACACAACAGCAACTGACAGCTAAACCTCCTACCACTAACTGGCGGCTATGGCCTCGTCTTCCTCCTCTTAGCCCACTTCCTCTTCGGGCACCTGCAGACCTTTGTACACAAGACGCTCTAACAGCGCTTCCGCACGGCTCACAGGCAGAATGAATGAATGACTTTACGCTGCCTCTTTATTTACACTTCGGATCGTCGTTGGTCTGCCCTTGGACCCTGGGCCCCAGGTGCACACAGTCCCACATGGTACTTGCTACTAGACAAAGTGCGACTGGCACAGGTACCGCTGACTAGGACTGCTCTTTGCTGACTGTGCTAGGACTGCCCTTCGCTGACTCAGACGCGGACTGACTCCTAGGACCTACGAAGAGCCTGTCTACAGGCTTCTAGAAGGTCGTGGCCTTGACCTTTCAGAAACTGTAGCAGCTACAACCTATACTACTGCCAAGACTCCTAAACGCAGACCTACGAAAGAACTCCAAAAATCGTAATCTCATCTTTGGTTATTTTGAACCTCCACTATGAGACAACGCATGGATAGCAAACCGAAGAGCCCGTCTGATCTTTTCGATGTCTGCTGACCGCCACTGATGCTGCTCCCCCCCCCCCTTCTCTCTCTCTCTCTCCCTCTCTCTCTCTCTCGTTCCCGCCGCCGATCTCTGGAACGCTGCTCTCCACCAGCGCCGTCCACTGTCCCATACGTTAACGCGCATGACAATACGTGAAGTTTGCATGCCGACCACAATCGGGATGGAGAACCCTGCAGACGGCTCGCGGCAGCCCGAGTACGTAGCGGGTCTGGCACACTTACACAAACCTCCCAGCGATGAATCTTCTGCGGGAACATCAACACATACAGTGGAGGCGAAGAAAAGGAGGGAAAAAAAAACTCGAACGGACACACAGGTTGTAGTCGTCGGGCACATCGCGAAACTTCGCCCTCTCCCGACTTTCGATGGGCCCGACCCGGGCCCCTGCATCATCCCGGTTCCTAGCGGGAGATTCACTTTCTATTTGCACATTTGGTGAGTTCTGGAGCCGGCCCGAGCACGGTCAACCTCGCCACTACGTACTTGTATTCCAACGCGCGTGCTCCAACGCCGCAACTCTTCTTTTCGTTGGGCGCGCCTCTTGTCCCAGCTGTTTCCCAACATTGGAAAGTGGGTTTTGCATGGGAATGTCACATGAGACACGCTATTCGCTTAAACCACCAGTACCCCCGAAGCAGCCTTCCCGAACCAATTTTTTGGGAAGCTACCAAACCTCTTTGAACTTGGAGACTGGAGCTGGTGAAGGGTAGAGACATAGCGGGTGACCGGTCCTTCATTGCTGGCGATCGGTACTGCTATGTTGGTTGTTTCTTCTTTTTTTGCCCTCTCTTTTCTTTCCCCCCGGCCGTCCATCTGACGTCCTTTTTCTCCATTCAGTTACATTTCCCCCCCTATGTGCGGCTACCATTGCCAGAATCACCGTCGAAGGCAGGGAACCTCGTCAGCTCCTGGGGCACTGTGGTTGAGGGCATATTCACACTACCAGTTCCTGATTGTATCAGCCAGACCTGGATGAATCCGACCGTAACCACGTCCAAAGCTTTGAATAAACAGTCATCTTGCGAGTATGCCTTCAAATGGGACGTGTCATCCTTGCACAGGGCTATGCCAATCTTCTCTGCATGCTCCCATGTTCTAACGGAAGATTCACTCAGTTTGCTGAACAAGGGGCCTTGCTCGGCCACTCACCACAGGCACAAAAGGACAAAAACCACGTGCAAGCCTACGCCCCTAGCTCCCAAACGGGCAGCTTTGCCAAAAAAAAAAAAAAAAAAAAAAAAAACCNAAAAAAAAAAAAAAAAAAAAAAAAAACCTGTATCGACCCATGATCTGATACAAGATTCATTCTCATTTTGTCGAGACTTGTGCAACAAGGGTTCCTGTTCGTAGTACGAGGGGCCTCACTCAACCAGTCACCACATGATGCACAAAGAGACAAAAACAACGACAGCTGGTTTTTTGTTTTTGTTTTTTGGATTTTTTCCCTTTTCTGATTTGACTCGTTTTTCAATTTATTCGTGTCCCTGACCAGGGCCATGCTAATCTTCTCTGTAACATCCGCTGATTTCGCGGCAGATTCATGCTCGCTTTTTTGTTTTGGACTGCAGGGCAGCGACGCCCCAGCTTGTGTCGTGACTCACAGCCGCTGCGTGCGCCGTTGTGAACGCCAGTTTCTTTGCTTTCTTTTTTCAGTACCTCTCTTTTTTTTCTTTTCTTTTTTTCCTTCTTTACCTCACTGTTGTCCTCCGTGGTCGGTCGTTTTCGAAACGAACGACCATCCGCACGTGCCCCGAGCCTGTACCAAGCCTTTACCAGGCCTGTCCATGTCCTCCATGAATTCAGGAAGTCAGGAAATTTTGCGTGGGCAGGGTACTGGTGGTTTGAAGAGAGTAAGAGATGAGAAGAGGAGAAAAAAACACAAAACAACACAGCTCAAAGAGAAAAAGCAATATCGCCGGAACACTGGTCTTGCATAATCACTCAGCTCTCCATCAGTGTTCCTTCCAAACGTAAAATTGACAATAGTGTATGAATCCCTACTTTCTGTCCACTAATGGTTAATAGGCGGTGTCATTTTCGGCGAACTTTTCACCGAAACTGCCATATTCCCCTGAAGTTTTGCTTTTTCTTCTTGTTTTTTATTTTGTGTGATATCTATTTGGCACTATTTGCTTAATGGTATATCTGTTTTCAGTTTCAACGTATTTGGCCGAGGAACGAAAAAGTTGGCAAAAACACCGAATTCGGAGAAAATTTTGGCGAACTCCAGCTACTCCGAATAGGATTTTGTAGTGCTTCTTGCCTTTTTTTTTTTTTTTAATGTTTGTATTAGGAGCCTCCATTGTCTGTTCACAAAATTTTCAATGACATTGCTTGTGGTGATGTGGCGAAAACCCCCGAATTTTGGGCCTTCCATTAACAATCTTGCACTTTCTGGCCTATAGATCCATCCATGCATGCAACCGTTTACCCTTCTAGGCTTTAGCCACAAAAGCTGCCAACCCCAACAAAAACGCCCTTTCTACACAATAATCAACAACCACACTTACTGGATGCGGGGAGCTAAGGGATTAGTTCCACTAAAGAGACTGCATGTATACGAAGTACGTAGAAGATGAAATAGACTTACCTTGTAAGCGCATTCATCCACCAAAAGTGTGTTGGTCTCATTGTAGAGGGTGATAAGCTCTTCACATGCCCATACTTTTGACTGCAGGGAAGACCAACAAACAGCCAAAGAATTCACTCATAGCTTTTAATGCAAGGCTGCCCTCCGTTAACCGTGTGTCCTCCTCCGTGCACGCATGAATTCCAACCAGCGCCCTTGGCCACAAGAGCGGAACAAACACTTAAAGGGTCACAAGTTCAGCACGGAGCCAAAGATGATGAAAAAGAACCAACCTGAAACAAACAGCCAAAATGAGAACTACAGTATCCCTACCGTTCCACTCAGGGCGCACAGAGGGAGAGGGAGAGAGAGAGAGAGAGAGAGAGAGAGAGAGAGAGAGAGAGAGAGAGAGATGCATGGGTCCTGGGGACCATCTCACGCAGATGTGTACATGTCATGCATCATCTTCACACGCAGTGATCAATAGTCCCAACCATAGACAAAGGTAGAGAAGAAGAGGACCGAGTTTCACAGCTTATATTATCATGAAATCACACTTCTGATTATCCAACTT